GAATCACCGTGCCCAAGATCTTCAAGAGCGGCAGGGCTGGACCTGTTAGCAGTCAACCCAGCTAGTTTTCCTTGTCAGTGTGTGTGTGTGTGTGTGTGTGTGTGTGTGGTGACTCCCTGGGACATCCAGCCTGTGACCCGGTGCCCAGCCAATGGTGGATCATGGTGCCATGAGCCACAGGTGCCACAGGTGCAAGACGTCAGGTAGTAAGAACACAAAACAGAGACAAAGAGGAAAAGTGAGGGAAGAGAGGAAGCACAGGAAAAGCGAGTGTGCAGCTCAGGTGTCTCTCATGCTCCCACTGAAGCTGGTCTCACCTCCACTACTACTGTGGTGTGCAGGTTCTAGCTCAAAGAGATTCAGGGAAAAACGGGTGGTTGTTTCCTCCTTGTGGTTTTTGCATGACCTGGAATGTGGCCTCATTCAAAAATAGAGCTTGCTGTCGGCTCATGGACTCATCAGCTTGGGCGGGGTGAACAGAATCCCACAGACGGGGGAGGTTTGAACAACAGGTACTTGTTCCTCATAGTCTGGAGGCTGGAAATCTGAGATGCAGGCGTGGCCAACGTTGGTTTCTCCTGCGACGTCTCTGCTGGACGTGCATGGCCATGTCCCTGTGTCCTCACATGATGGACAGACGGAGAGCTCTGGGGTGTCCTCTCCTTATTAGGGCACCAATCCCATCCTGGGGACAGGCGCTGCTGCTGACATGACCTCATGTAACCCTAATTACTGCCCAGAGGCTCCACCTGGTAATACCATCCATTCAGGGTTAGGGCTTCCACATATGAACTGAGGGGTGGGGGCGGGTGCACACTCGGTGAGAACAGGACGCGTGCATTCACTGGAGATGTATGTTAGAAGTATCTCCTGCTGAATCAGAGCCTGTCCCTCCCATGACTCAATGCGGCCCATGAGTAGAGGCATAAGCACCTGTTTCCTGGAAAAGCCAAGTGCACACAGCTCCTTCCGGGGACGGGCACAGAGCCACCTCGGCCAGCTGTCACTGTAGCCCGCAGTTGGGGAGGAGGAACCACATGGACGTCGTATGAGTCTGCCTGGGGCTTCCGAGGCAGACGAGGTGGCTTCAACATTAGACATTCATCGTCTCTCTGTCTTGGGAGCTGGGAGTCTGAGATCCAGACCGGGCTGAGGCTGGTTCCCCCTGAGGCCTCCTGACGTGGAGACCCTGTGTTCTCCCCGTGTCGTCATGTGGTCGTCCCTCTGGGTGTGTCTGTGTCCTCATCTCTTCTTATAGGAACACAAGCCCTATGGGATCAGGATGCACACTAACAACCTCATGGTACCTTAATGCCTTCTTTAAAGACCCGACCTCCAAATACAGCCCCATCTGAGGTCCTGGAGGTGAGGGCTTCAACATATGTATTTGGGGTCGGGAGGGAGCACAGTCCAGGTCATTTCAGGCTTTCTGGTGGATGTTCAGCCTTCCTGCTTCGCCGAGACAGAAGCAGGAGCTGTGCCCCATGGACACTCTCCCTTCTGGTTAAGCAGGTGTGGTGGCTCTCTCTCTGCACGAGATGTTTCCTGCTGCAATAGCTCATTTGGGCTCACAAGTCTTCCCAAACCCACTGTCCCATCTGCATTTCCCAGCCCCTTTCTGAGTGTTTTCTAGGAGAAACCAGCACACGCTGTGGGCAACCATGTTGGCTAGGGAGGTGGCGGCCCTGGGTTCGAATCCCGGCGTCTCCACCCACCAGCTGTGTGCCGTGGGGAAGGCACTAGTCTTCTCTGGGCTCTGGGTCCTCACCTGTGAAATGGGTGTTAGTCCTTGGCACAATGCTCAGCACACAGTATGGCCACCCCTGTCGTGTTTACTGTTTACCGTTCGCAGTTGGGTTTATATGGGTCACTTGTGAGGTGCCATTTGTTTCCCCTGATACTCGTGTGGAAAAGTATTGCTACAATATCCGTTTTCCCGGAGAGGATACAGGCTTAAGAGGGATGGTGGTTCGGTGAAGGTCTCGCAGTTAACAGGTGGAGGCAGAATTTGAACCCAGGTCCTAAGATTCTTGGGTGTTTCCTCCTCCTCCAGATGATGCAGGTGCAGATCAGTTCCCAAAGGTTAAAGTCCTGTGTGTGAGAGCTTGTGGGTGAGCACGTGTGTGCATGTGGGCTACTGTACATGCATGTGGGTGAATATGCATGTGGGTGCATGTGAACATGTGTGTGTGTGCATGTGGGTGAACAGTGTGCATGTGTGTGGGTGAACATGTATGTGTGCATGTGTGTGGGGTATGTGAGCATGTATGGGTGTCTATGGGTGAGCGTGTGGGTGCATGTGAGCATTGCATGTGCAAATGTGTGTGACTATGTTTGAGCGCTTGTGGGTGAGCACGTGTGTGCATGTGGGCTCATGTGTATGTATATGGATAATATGTGTGTGCATGTGACTGTGCATGTGGGTGCATATATGTGTGGGTGAGTACACATGTGTGCATATGGGTGAGCATGTATGTGTGCACGGGAGCATGTGAGTGTACATGAGCACATATGGGTGTCTATGGGTGAGTGTGTGGGTGCATGTGAGCATGTGTGTGCACACGTCTCTACACACATATGTACATCTCAACATTTATCATGACACCCTCCTTTTTACACAGGCTCGACCTATAATGGCTCTGATGGGTGATGATTAGCATGTGATATGAGATGTAACGAGAAATAAATGAATAAAACCATCTATTTCATGAGCTGTCAAAACATTTAGGAATTAAAGAATACAAATGAAATCTCATTTCCGTCTTCATTATAAGCCCAAGGCTTTGAAATGTTCTACAAATGATCATCGGTTGCTTTTTTAAACCTCGCATCTATCATGTACTTAAGCACATGATAGTTGTTGGTAAGTGGATGTGATTAATTCTCCGCAAGATGCCTTATAGCCAAAAAACAACTCTTTTTTTCTGCCCCTTTGTATGTTAGCAGAGCTGGCTGCCCAGGGCCAGCTACGGTGATTGTGTGTATGTGTGCAGGTGAGTGTGTGTGTAAATGTATGTGTGGCTATGTGAATGTATGTGTATATGCATAAGTGCGTGTGCGTGTGCATAAGCATGTGTGTGTCCACGTGAGCATATGCATGCACATGAGTGTGTGTACATGTGAATATGTGTGCGTATGTATGTGTATATGTGAATGTATGTGTGTAGACACGGGTATATGTGTGTGCATGTGAGTACATGTGTCCACATGAGCATATGCGCACACACGAGTGTGTGTGCATGTGAATATGTGTGCATATGTGTGTATGTGAATGTATGTATGTAGACACGGGTACATGTGTGCGCATGTGAGTACATGTGTGTCCACGTGAGCATATGCATGCACATGAATATGTGTGTGCATGTGAATATCTGTGCATGAGTCTGTATGTGTATATGAATACATGTGTGTAGACATGAGTATATGTGTGTGCATGTGAGTATGTGTGTGTCCACGTGAGCATATGCATGCACGTGAGTATGTGTGTGCATGTGAATATGTGTGTGCATGAGTATGTATGTGTGTATGTGAATGTATGTATGTAGACATGCGTATATGTGTGCGTGTGAGTGTGTGTCCACGTGAGCATATGCGTGCACATGAGTGTGTGTGCATGTGAATATCTATGTGCATGAGTATGTGTGTATATGTGAATGTATGAATGCACATATGGATACATGTGTGTGCATGTGAGTGAGTGTCAAGGGAGCACATTTACATGTGAACACATGTGTGCATGTGAGCTTATGTGTATGCATGTGAATGTGTGTGCCTGTGTGGATGTGTTTGTGTGCATATGAGTATGTGTGCATGGGAAGGTACATGTGAGTTTATGTGTCTGCAAGGGAGTATATGTGTGTGCATGGGAGCACAGATACATGTGAATATATGTGTGCATGTGAGTGTGTGTGTGCATGGGAATGCCAACCCCTCACACAGTTGAAAATCCCAGTATCCCCTCTGACTCCCCGAAGCTGAACTACTGAAGCCCTCGGTTGGCCTGGAAGCCTTACCGATGCCACACGCAGTAGGTGAACCCGTATTTTGTCCGTCGTATGTACTATACGCTGTACTCTCACAACAGAGAAAGAAAACGCAGCTAAAAAAATCCCAAGGAATAGAAAACACATGTATGAAACTGTGTTACATTTATTGAAAAAATCCGCATCTGAGTGGACCCGCGCAGTTCAAACCTGTGTTGTTCGGGGGTCAGCTGTTTAGACTTACAGAGGCACATGGGAAGCTCCAGAGTGGAGGGCGGGTTGAGCAGATCTTCACAAGCTTATTAAACAAAATAAGCTCCTGAAAATGTCTTTATCCTGACAATAAGAAGCGAGGGGGACACCGTTGGTTCTGGATCTGGAACCACAGCGCTGCACGGAGGCGCCTTGGTTCCCACCACTCGCAGCCTCTTGAGCTCCTCCTGGCTCGCCGACACCCCCTGACCACGCCAACACCCACTGACCATGCCGACTCCCACCCCTCACATGTGTCGTCCGCGTTTCCAGCTTCTGCTTGAACTTTGCTTTCCCCCTAAGCAGTGACCGTAGCCCGCGAACATGTCCGTCCCCGTGGGAAGCTCACCATGCTGCATGGACACCGAGAGCCTTTCTGCATGGTGGCCATGAGCCACCCAGTTGCTAACTAGTGTTGCTAAAACACAGAGGCTCTGCATTCATCCGCTTTGAGCCAATAAGACGCATTTTGGGTTCATCAGGAGCTGGAGAACTTGACGATGCACGTCTGGGATTTTAATATGCATCTGCCTGTGGAAATGGACCAACCCATCTTGGAAGTGCAACCTGGCATGTGTCGAACCCGAAGCCAGGAGCTGCAGGGCTCTGACCCCGCTAGGTTGCACTCGCGGCTTTCTGCTTGAGCTTCCCGACCTAGGTGATGAGCGTGCTGTCTCACCCAACAGCACCTGTGGGGGTCCTGAGAATCCCATGTGCTCTGCTCTAAAAGCTGACGTGGCCTGGCCTTCTTCCTTCTCCCCACAGACCCCAGATGAGGGAGCCTGGACGTCGGTCTATGCAGCGGTCACCCCGGACCTGGAGGGACTTGGCGGCCGCTACCTGTACAATGAGAAAGAGACCAAGTCTCTCGCGGTCACGTATGACCTAGATCTTCAAACAGAGCTGTGGGCCAGAAGTTGCCAGATGACCGGCATCACCGACGTGACCCAGGACACCTTCTCGGGGTAGCTGCTGCCTTCTGTCTACCAAGCACAGGTCTGTGACAGACCCCCATGTCTGCATTGTTCATAGTCGTCTGCCTTCATGGCTGTGTCCCCAGAGGTCTCCTGTCTGCCATCCTACCTTTGCAGGAAATCAAGGGCCAAAAGAAACATTGAATGTAATCCCCAAGTAGGTGATTCTGAGCCATAATCGTGTGCCAAATTGCTACAAGTGCCATGAACAATTAAATGCTGCCTAACCCAACTGTGCGGTCTTCCTTGTGTAGCATAAGGCAGGGAGGAGATCTGGGGAGGCATGTTCCAGGTGAGATAGGCGTTTTAGGGGAGCACGGATCATTGGGTCTGTAGGGGGTCCACTGCGTCCTTGTTCTTCCACTCACACAGACCTGGACACCCGCTCTGACTCATGGGCCCCCGAAACTCTACAACCTGAGACTGACCTGGTCCCCGGTGCTTCCTGTAGCCCTCAGAGCTGCTGTCCCCATGAGTCATGTGTTTATAACCAGACGTGTCAAGGATTCTGTACAGCAGGTGGGAGGACAAGGTCCAGGACAATATTTCCTGTATGGTTCCCTAGGACAGGAGGAGAGGGGTCTGAGTGGCACTTCCCATGGGGTTCTGTACGACAGGGAGGAGGAGAGGGGTCTAGACTGCACTCCCCATGGGGTTCTATAGGACAGGGAGGAGGAGAGGGGACTGCACAGCACTCCCCATGGGGTTCTATAGGACAGGGAGGAGGAGAGAGATCTACATACCACTTCCCATGGGGTTCTGTAGGACAGGGAGGAGGAGAGGGGTCTACACAGCACTCCCCATGGGGTTCTGTAAGACAGGGAAGAGGAAAGGGGACTACACAGCACTCCCCATGGGGTTCTGTAGGACAGGGAGGAGGAGAGGGGTCTACACAGCACTCCCCATGGGGTTCTATAGGACAGGGAGGAGGAGAGAGATCTACATACCACTTCCCATGGGGTTCTGTAGGACAGGGAGGAGGAGAGGGGTCTACACCCCACTCCCTGTGGGGTTCTGTAGGACAGAGAGGAGGAGAGGGGACTACACAGCACTCCCCATGGGGTTCTGTAGGACAGGGAGGAGGAGAGGGGTCTACACAGCACTCCCCATGGGGTTCTATAGGACAGGGAGGAGGAGAGAGATCTACATACCACTTCCCATGGGGTTCTGTAGGACAGGGAGGAGGAGAGGGGTCTACACAGCACTCCCCATGGGGTTCTGTAAGACAGGGAAGAGGAAAGGGGACTACACAGCACTCCCCATGGGGTTCTGTAGGACAGGGAGGAGGAGAGGGGTCTACACAGCACTCCCCATGGGGTTCTATAGGACAGGGAGGAGGAGAGAGATCTACATACCACTTCCCATGGGGTTCTGTAGGACAGGGAGGAGGAGAGGGGTCTACACAGCACTCCCCATGGGGTTCTATAGGACAGGGAGGAGGAGAGAGATCTACATACCACTTCCCATGGGGTTCTGTAGGACAGGGAGGAGGAGAGGGGTCTACACCCCACTCCCTGTGGGGTTCTATAGGACAGGGAGGAGGAGAGAGATCTACATACCACTTCCCATGGGGTTCTGTAGGACAGGGAGGAGGAGAGGGGTCTACACCCCACTCCCTGTGGGGTTCTGTAGGACAGAGAGGAGGAGAGGGGACTACACAGCACTCCCCATGGGGTTCTGTAGGACAGGGAGGAGGAGAGGGGTCTACACAGCACTCTATGGGGTTCTGTAGGACAGGGAGGAGGAGAGGGGTCTACACAGCACTCTATGGGGTTCTGTAGGAGAGGGGGAGGAGAGGGGTCTACACAGCACTCTATGGGGTTCTGTAGGAGAGGGGGAGGAGAGGGGACTACACAGCACTCCCCATGGGGTTCTGTGGGAGAGGGAGGGGGAAAAGGGTCTGTAATCACTCAGCACAATGTCTTGTGGGACAAGGCACAGCGCTCTTTGCCGTGGAATCAAGATCTTAGGACGAGGAGAGCATCCTGGCTCATCAGGGGATGCTCAGCGCACTCACCACGTTCCCATATAAAAAATGCACAGATGGAGATTTGATTACAAAATAAGAAGAAGTCATATGACCATCAAGGAGACAAGGATGGGAGGGTCGTGGCCACCAGCCCAGGGACACCCGGGAGGCAGGAAGGACCCTCCCCAGAGCCTCTGGAGGGAGCACGGCCCTGCTCCCCCCCCCCTTGATGTCAGACTTCCAGCCTCCAGAGCTGCGGGAGGACGAATGAAAGCCTGTGGTTTTTGAGCCTCCAGCAAATTGATAGGAATTTGTTTCAGGAAACTCACAGTTCCCTGTGGTTCTGAAGATCTCCTGCAGTTTACTGGGCACCATCCTGGACCTCAGGGCTCTCACCCTTATTCACCCACCAGTCAGGCAAGGAAGCCTCAGTCCTCCCTCTGGGGGAGGATGTTCCCAAATGCCAACACGGACACGTGGGCTGATTTCAGACGCAATGGACAGGAGAGTGTGGGTCTGCTGCTTAAGTACCTTCTGAATTCACCTCTGGAAATTCACCGCTGGTCAGCTGACCATCCATTCCCTCAACCAACAGAGTCTCACTGAAGTCCCAAAGTTGATGTCGACCCCGGGCACACGCGTGCTTTGGAATCACTGCCGGGATAGTGCTTCCAGTGTGGGGTTCACCCTGGACACGGGGACAGGTGCGTCATACGTTAACGCTTGGTTACTCCAGGACACATGGGGTGGCACCGTGAAGTGATTTAAGCATCAAGTTCTCCTCCTGGAATGGAGCATTACCTAATGGGAACTCGATAAAATGCCAAGGAGTGTTGTCGCTCTGCTTTGGGATTCTTGAGAGTGCCCCCGGTGGATTCTCTTTAAGTGACAGAGTTCTCTGTCTTTTCTTGGCCAAGGTGGTCAACTCTAAACAAAGCTTCTTCTCAGCGAACATGTGGAAGACCTTGAAGGTCCAGTTAGGCTGGTGGGTTTTGGTTGGCCACTGGGGGAGGGTCTGAAAATGAGCATTGCTCATCCCCACCCTCAAAAGAATTCCAGACTTAATTCCTCTGGATGTGAGCATATTTCTGTAGAGCTTCTCAAACCATCCTCTTGTTCAAGCCAGTTCAAGACCCAACCTGAACCAGACGTATTCGGATCGCAGCTTCCCGCCCTGACTGCTGGCACCTCCTCAAGCTGCCCAGATGTCCTGCTAAAGCCTTAGACCCCAGACTAATGTCTCTTAGAGCTAAACTCACGATCAAGATGTGCCTCATCTTTAGCCCTTTGCACTAAAACGCAGAGTCTTGCGTTCTGGAAGATGCCAACCTTGGAGCATGTGTACGTTGTCCAAGAGCCTATTACAGCCTGAGGCCATCGTACACAAGTGCCAGCAACCGTTGTCGTTATCACCGAGGTGCTTTCCAAGGAGAGGCTCAGGATGGCTCCCGGCCAAGCTGACAAACTCCATCACTGAGAAAACAAGCATGCCACGGCTTGGCAGATGCCGCAATCCCCAAGCTGAGGAGATGCACTCCAAGAGCAATCTGAACCTTGTAGGACCCTGGCCTCTGATTGCTCCTCCTTGTCGCATGACAGCCCTTGTGTTGCTGTTCCTCCCTGCGGGAGAGAGGGAAAAAAAAAAATCACGGTTCTGGAGAACTTAGTATGTGCCCTCCACACGTAATCGTAAAATTCCTCGGTGCTCAGAGACTCTTCCCAGCAGCTGGAGAAATTGTGTGGTTCTCTGGGTGAGTAAAGCTGAATCCGTGGCTTCACAGGCATGGGGGGAATCATGGGGTTGAGCCTGTCGCTCATGTTATGGGAGTCACGAGGGTCTCTGTGTGCACGCCAGGGTGATGACTTTCCATCCATGAACTAAGAATTGATTCAGTAGTTGGACTCATGAACGTGAGTGTTTCTCTCCTCGGTAAAGCTGTTGTTTTGTTCCCTCGGTGTAGCAACAGGGAGTTTTGTTTGGGTTCAGCAATGGGAGGGACCACTTTGTTCATTCATCTGTTCATTCATTCATTCATTCCATCTGCCAAGCCAAGGTCTGAGGACAGACAAGCTCACTCAACTTGAGTGGGACCTAGCTCTTGTCCCAAAAGAGCTTGAGGTCTGTGGTGGGTAGATAATGGCCTCCGTGGATATTAGGTCCTAACACCTGGAATCTGGGGATGTCACTGTAGGGGACAGCAGGGACTTCTAACAAAGAATAGTGAGCTCGGCAAAGGCCAGTCCGTGTAGAACACAAGCTCCCTCTGGATGCCAACTGGATGTTGAAGGGTTTCTGTGTCTTGAACAGGTGGGCATGGGCATCCCTCATCTTGCCTATTTGGAAGTACGGCCATACAAGGTGCACCAGGCTCCTTCTAAGGCGGGACAGGTTGGGAGGCAGGATTGGGGAACTTCTTAGATTGGTCTACGGGTCAGGGAGGGCACGCCACGCCCATTTCCCATTGGATGTGAGCTTTGGGAAGGCGCCATCATTAAGCCTTTGGGTCTCTTTTTCTGATGCCTCATCTACTGAATTATGACACACCTTGCCTGAGCCCAGGTTTTCTGAGACAACAAGATCTCTGTCGATGTTCTGCTTCAGCAGTGTTCAGAAATATGACGCCTATGGTTTTGGGTGCAAGCCCTGGTGGATTTAATTTGTCACAGCTGAGCCTTGAACAGCACAAAGCTAGGGGTGCCCAGGCTCTACGCACTCAAAAATCCACATACAGCTTTTGGCTCCCCCAAAACGTAATGAGTAGGAGCCCACTGTGGACTGGAAGCCTGACCAATGACATAGTTAATATTTGATGTGGTCTATGTATTGCATGCTGTGTCCTTACAATAAAATAAGCTACAGACAATAAAGTGTGATTAAGAAAATCATAGGAAGAGAAAACACATTTACAGGACTGTGCTATATGTATTAAAAAAAATCTGCATCTCAGTGGACCCAGACAGTTCACACTGTGTTGTTCAAGGGTCAGCTGTAGTTGGGATTGTATTTTCTGTCATCTGGTACCAGTATCCTCGTCATGGGGCCTAGATTCGTAACTTATCTAGCAAACACCACAAAAGCATAAAGGTAAACCCAGACTTAAGTCCCTCCTGGTTTCCAGCATGTGCCCTGTAGGGACAGCATGTGAACGTCTATGCCTAGCAACAAGCTTAGGAGTTCTCCAGCTCTGGGATTCTAGAAAGTCAAGGAAGGATGTTCACCGGTTCAGTAATAGAGCTTTGCCAGTATGTGCACTTATTGAGCA